ATATATAGATATATAGATATAGAAATAGAAATAGAAATATATAATTAAAAAAATATATATATATATATGTACACAGATGAAAATTAGAATGTCACTTGTGCAAAGTCCTCGAACGATGTCTAGCCTGCAGAATCGCCAAGCGAACGCCTGAAGCTGAAGTGTTGCCAGAGTCTGAGCCAGGAGCCGGCTCTCTGTCAAGACGCCGTCGAGTTGCCACGCGTGGCGCTTCGTGGTTTCCAGCCTGTGCCAGTGAAGTTTGTAGAGGCACCCGAGAAAGAAATCAGGCCAGATGCTTCGCCTGAGGACGGATGCTCCGACTTGACAGAAATTGATGCAGCAACCGAACCCCTGCACTCAGACGACCAGAGTCAACCGAGCCAAGCCGAGCAAACTGAGCAAGCGCTGCCCGAAGCTGCACCAGCAGAGCCACCGCAAGCGAAAGAACCGAAGCGCCCCTCGTGTTCCCCAGACATGATGTGGGGCCACGATCGAGAGCAATATCGCGGTGAGTTGTTCCTGGAGCTCGGCCGACGGCTTGGACGCACCGACCAGGACTTTACTCGGACACAGAAAGAGAGAAGAAAAGTGCCTAAGATTGGGGCTGTTTTAGAGATTCATCTTTTCTGAGATCTCGAAGCTTGGAGGACCAGCGGCCTTCGGCAGAGGCACTGGGTGGGGAGACGGAGGGACCAGGCTGAATACGACACCTTCGGATTGGAGACACGCCCCCCTGCACAGGTCGAGGCCCCAACCGCTTCCGCCTCTGCATCCTTGGTGGCAGCCGAGGCCAGCAGTAACATGCGTCTCAAAAGCCTCTCAACAGGGAACTTGGCAATCTCATGCAGACTGAGGCTGCCCTGCGCGCCGCTGCTCAACAGCGGATGGCTTTTTGGCCGAGTTGCTAGGGGGATCTAGGGGGTATAGCTGGGAAGCGCACGCTCTCCATTGCTTGTCTTTTGCTGCAAGCAGGTGTTGAGCAAGAGTCGGTCATGCCCGAAGCGTAGCCGGTTTACATCATAAGATGAATTATATTTTACCCGTGCGATTGTCTTGCCAAGTGGAACAGAAGCTGAGGCAAGTGTGCAAAAACTCACAAAAGCCGCTCGCTCGGCCACTTCCAAGCCAGTGCTGGATCTTGGGCTGTGAGGGTCGCAAATGGACATATCTGCCACGCTGCCCGTAGCATCATCTTGAATCAACAGTTCTCTCACAAGCATTCACAGACCTTATCAAGTCAAGCTGCAGGGCCCCACGTGCGTACAGACGCTCTGCGCGCCCGGCCCCCAGCCGTGTGGCGAAGCTGCCCGTCGGCTTGCTGTCACTGTCGAAACCTCGGCAAAAATTGGACAGAACTGGATGGCTTTGCCGGTGCGGGTCTTGAACACTGTGGCTGACAGCTTGTGGCACCTGAGTGGGATCAATTTACAAAGAATAGCCAACGGGCCAACTGCCCTCTCCTCCCCGCAGCCCCAAGCCGCAGCCCACTCCACGATCACCCTAGCTCCGCCCCGGCCCCGGCTGCGGCCTGCAGTGGCAGATCCGCAGGCCAGGGCCCCGAACCCCAACCCCCCGCTGACAACCCTTGGCCATGACCGGCTGGCCGCTGCGATGCTGGGAGGGCCTCTGCAAGCGGCTCCAGTCGAACAGATTAGAGGCTGGCCGCATCTGCACCAAACATTCTCTGCAACCGAAGATGATCAAGCATCCTATGCTGTCCTATGCCTCCTCCAGCCCAGCGGTCTGACAGCTTGAGCACTTGAGCCAGAGGACTTTTACCAGCTCGACACCGCACTGGGCAGCGGTGCCTTCTGCCACTTCGGCCGTTTCAGCGCAGTTGTACCCTGCAGCCAGTAACCTTTAGGAAACACCACTTCGGACAGGTTTGCGTTTGCATGTTCCTTTTCCTGTACTTAGGTTTCCGTTCCGAAGAGGAATACGACATTACTGCAGATAGGAGTGGCGAGTACCGTAGTGAGTTGGTAATCCTGCCGGGGATCCAGGGAAAGCTTCACCTCACATCTAGCAGTCACAACTGTAAACCCAAATTGTTCATTAACCTGTGTACCAGTATGTTATGTAAGCTTTCTTGCTTGCTCCGAGCTCGCGACTGCCTGCAAACTTGAGCTTGGAACCAGTGCGATTCAGCAAGCGCATGCCCAGGAAAGTTTAGGGTGACTCGTGTGCAGCACCATGCCAACAGCAAGCAGACGAGTGAAGCCGAGCGACGAAAGTGACAGCTCAACAGCAGAACGATGAAGCAGCAATGACAAGTCGGCCAAGCTAGGACCACAGCCCCGACACAGGAAGCATGACACATAGGCGAGCCACGTTTGTAGCCCAGGCACGGTGTATTTGGGAAGCTGCAAAAAGACGGGCGATCAAGCGGCCGCTTCTTGGACTAAGCAGCCTGAGAACTTCCTGGATCCTGCGATCCAGCTTTCAAGCTCTGCAATTGAATGAGCAACCGTCGATGCTTGCGTCGATCACGGTCGCTGTAAAGAAACTTGAAGCTCGCTCGTCACGCTTGGATACATCTGGATCTTGTGATCTTCTGGTTCGACGATTGCATTCCTTCGCTCCCAACATTGCGATCACAAGCAGCATGCAAGGTCAAGATCTTCAAGAGATCCAGCGAGAGCCAGGACATCGGGACGCGACGTGGCAAGTGATCAGTGATATCCGGTACTTCACTCACCACTGCGGATAATCACGGCGCGACCAACAGCTTCAGTCTTGCTGTGATGCAGCTTAGGCGAGAGGCTTTTGAGACTGAGAAGAGCATGCTTGAGCGCCTTTGCAAAAATGGCTAGTGTGTTGGCTGCGCAAGCCTTCTGACCTCCATTCCGGCATGCTGTTCATCACACTAGGACCGTGCGACACCCAAACGTCATCGAGCCCTGGCTGTCCTGGCTGACTGTGGACTTTCCACGTTCTGCAAATTCTGACAGAATCTGTTTTGACTTGATTGGGGGCTATGGGTGCGCTTCGATCACAGATGTAGGAAACCAGGGGCTTTCCATGGCCTGGGCCGGGTCTTGAGACCGAAGTCAGTCAAGTCAGACATGTGAAGATGCACGACCCCTTTCAGCAGGGTCTTGTTCAGCTCCGAGGAGCTGTTGAGTTGGTTCTTTGACGAGAGTGCCTGGCACCTCGTGGTGGAGGCCTCCTTTGAACCTCTGTGTGTGCTGTGTGTGTTTGCGCAGATGACAAAACTGGTGTTGCGACCAGTCCTGGACTGTGCTTTGTCTTTGAAGCTCTCGAAGTAACCTTGGCCCCCAGCAGCTTAGCACCTGCAGGGCTAGATGAGAGAGCAGCGAAGACAGGTTGAATATGTGATACCCGCTGATGTGCTGCAAGAAGTGGTTTGCCCATTGAGAATGCCGCCTCAGCTGCTGCACTCGCTTTTGGTGGGGAATGATCTTGGAGTGTACAACGGAGGCTGAAATGTTCTGTGGTCCTCAAAACTCGTGTTCTGACAGGTCTGTTCTGGAGGAGAGCTGCTCGACAAGGTCTGCAACGCGTGGTCTGTTCCGGAAGCTGCGGCAATCAGACAAGGGGCATGCCTCAGCCAACATGGCAAGAATACCTGGCTTTGTCGCTTCATAGGATCTTAGTTCCGACAGCATCACAAAGAAAGCTAGCAGCCTTTGCAACTGGATCGGCGAAGCTTTGGCTTTCATTGGGAGCTGGTGCCGCCCTCGCGTTGTGTAGCAGATGCAGAGAAGTGCCCCGCTCGCAGGTCGCCGAAGCCGGATACCTCACAGAGAGGCTCGCCTCGATCCTGATGAAGCAGCCCCTCGGTTTGTGGTCTCTATCACCAGTCACTATCAAGGTTAAGCAGGTGCAAACCGTTGAAGGGGCTCCCAGGTCCTCAGGTTTGGCTTCTCCATGCACGATACTATCAGGTGGACCGCAAGTTTAGCATAGTTTAGCAGCATAGAACGCCGCCTGTCGCTGGCTAGGCTCTACTTTACTGTGCTCTGGGAACCAAGGATTTGTGATCCTTTGGCGTTCCTGCAGCCCGACATGTTTAGACAAAGACTTGTCACATGGGTGCTACGGATGAATAGAGCTATATGCTAAAACGGCACGTGCCGGCATCTTTCCCAAAACAGAACTGTCAGCCAAGGCATCAACAGCATGTCTGCCACAGGGACTTGAAGCCAGAGCACTTTCTCTTCGCCCGTCCAGGGCCTCTGGAGCAAGTGCCATTGCCAGCGGGACCTTGTTTATCCTTCCTTTCTTGGCATTGTGTGCAGAGGCCGTCGATTCAATTACAGAGGTGCGCAATAGCACTCACGTTTTTAATGGTTAATGGTGTTTCATTTGCTGATGGCCAAGGAAAATTATAGACTTTGGTTTGGCCTGTCGCTTCGATGATGGCCAGATGTTCCACGATTCGCCAGGCACGGGAGCTCATGTTGCAGACTGTGTCGGTGGGAGGGCGGCAGATTGGAGACCAATGGCCAATGGCGGGTGGTGCATTGTGCTCACATTCTTCCCTGACCCCGCTGGTGCAGGAACTGTGATGTATGTAGCACCAGAGACTTGGAGCGCAGCAACATCTGACAATCATCCAGGCGAGAAGTCATGCACTCCCCAGCACGCGCCCGTTTTTGAGCCGTTGGTTCTTCAAGACATGTCAAGAATCAGGAACATCCTCGCCCCACTCTGAGCACTGCATCCAACGATAGGCTTTATCCAAAGAGTACACAAAAGCTTCTTGTGGCTGTTCGCAGATAAGGAGATCCTGTCCAAAGGGTATCAGCCGCCCTTCTGCGATCTTTGGAGCTACGGCGTCGTGGCGTGGCCCGGTGCAATCAGACGAGGCTGTCCAGTGTCACAGTCTGCATCACGTGTGCAGCCTCAACGAGACGATGTGTCTTGCATCAACTGCTTCACGGTGCTCCGGCAAAGGTATCTCACAATGAGCGGAATAAGCCCTTTTGCAGCTTGCCTTGGACCAGTCGTATGACGCGTCTGGTTTGCTGTGCACTGGATGGTGCCTGGTTTGTTGCACAAACTGTTGCACAACTCCTCGGCCAAGAGGACCCATATCATGATCCGCCGAGGACGCTGACACCGCAAAGCAGGTGGCAAGAAACATCAGGAAGGTCAACTATACCTTCGATGCGGCTATGGCCGCACCTATTGCCCGTGGTGCAAGGTTTGCTTGTACCAACTGCAGGGGGTATTCTCCGCACTGCCCCTAAGGCGCCTTGCTGGGGCCATGTATCTGCAGAGGGCAAAGACTTCCTCAGCCAGCTGCTTCAGTTCCATGGCCTCGCATTGGCGTGTAGCTGTGTGGCTTGCTCATCCTCAGCAGGAGTCCTTAGTGCCTCAGTACTGGTAGTAAGCAACCAGGTGAAAAACGCGGTCGAGGTCCTTATCCGGTCCTTTAGCAATAGTTAAAACGGGGGAACCCCCCTCGACCCCGGCGCAGCAAACTGACATGATGGATTCAAAGGCAATAAGGGCCCTTCCCCATAATGATTGGCACTAGTTGGAGGCACGTTGGAGGGCAATTTTTTGTGGGACTTTATTTTTGGTGCCTGTGTTTTTTTTTTTTGGCGGGGGGGGGNNTTCCTCACTTCCGAGCACGAGCTGTCACTGTCTGCCGATTCTCGGCCTTCTGCCGGTGTTTGCTTCTCGTTTTCCCCTTGTTTTTGCTTCTGCTTTTGCTTTTCTGCTTCTCTGCTTTTCGGGTCTGCTTCTCTGCTTGTCCGCCCGCCGCTCTGCTTTAACGCTTTGCTCTCGTGCTGTTCCGCTCTTGCATTTGTTTGTTTTTCTGCTGCTTGTTGCTGATGCCCTTGCTTTTCTTGATCCTACTCCTCGTAATTCTAGTATCACTACAGTAATAATACTCGCTATATCTATCTATCTATCTATCTATCTATCTATCTATCTATATATATATATACGCTCGTCATGCTTACGCATGTATGTCTTTCCATATTTACGTATGTCTATACATTGGGCGACTGCAGCATATGTGTGTGTGTGCGTGATATATATGTATATATATACACAGACAGATATATGCATGCATGTACGTGTGCATGAATGTATGACTGTATGCATGTATGTATTTTCTGTATCTGTAGGCAGTCACGACTACGACTACGACTACGACTACTACGACGACGACTACTACTGCTGCTACTACTGCTACTTCTGCTGCTACTATTACTACTATTACGCCTACTACTATTGCTACTGCTAGTACTAGTACTAGTATTACTTCCGGCAGTAGTACTTCTGCGATTACTTTTTGCTATTTACTACTTGCTACTTTTTGCTTGCTACTCACTTTTCAAATATCTATTAACTATTAACTATTTACTATTTACTACTTTCTACTTACTACCTACTACGTACTACTTACTACTTACTACTTACTACTTCTACTTACTACTTACTCCTTACTACTCAGTTACTCCTCACTACTCACTACTCACTATTCACTACTCGCTACTCGCTACTTACTACTTACTACTTACCACTTACCGCTTACTACTTACTACTTACTACTTCGTACTTACTCCTTACGACTTACGACTTACGACTTACGACTTGCGACTTACGACTTACGACTTACTACTAACTACTAACTACTAA